CTGCCATGATAATCATATATTACATTATAGTTTAACTGGGAGTGCTTCCAAGGATGAGCTTGAAAAAGTTGTGTGTGCAGAGAACAGAATTGGAACTCTATGCAGTCAATGTAAGAAAGGGTATTCTGTTTATTTTCACTCAACAACTAATAAATGTGGGGAAGAACATCATTGCTCCTTTGGATCTGTATTTTATCTTCTGAGTGAATTACTACCAATAACTGGTCTCTTCTTCATAATTTTATATTTTGACATTAGCCTAACAACAGGAATGGCATTTAATTTTCTATTCATTATACAGCTACTACAAACCATGGTTGAATCAGTCAATATAGGAATTGACTACAAGTCTATTGGGATTGCACGTAGTGTGTACTCTGTAATTTATGACATGTTCAACCTTGACTTTTTTCATATTGATGAACTCTCTTTCTGCTTGTGGAAAGGAGCAAGTACATTAGATATGATAAGCATCCAATATGTATCTGTAGTTTATGCAGTTTTGCTGATATTTGGACTTGTGTATGCATTTAAGTGTTGTTGCTGCTCAAAATGCAAGTGCTGCACAAAAAATTACTCCGTAGTTCAGGGACTCGCCACTTTTCTAGTGCTGTCATATTTTAAATGTGCTTTCATTACTTTCAAGCTTCTCAACCACACAATTATTCGTGGCATTGGGTCAAAAAACTACCTTTATGTTGTATGCTGGGATGGGTCTTTAAAGTATTTTAGCACTCAACATCTCTGGTATGCCATACCAGCTCTCATTTGTTTTTTCTTATTTATAATTCCATTTCCACTGATACTTACATTTGATGGACTATTGTTAAAGGTAGAGAGTAAACTGGCCATTCGTTTTGCTTTCATTAGAAGGTTGATGCCATGGACTGCAATACATTATAAGCTGAAACCTCTTCTTGATTCATTCCAAGGACCTTTCAAGGATCAATATCGTTTCTTTGCTGGTCTTTACTTCTTTTATCGATTATTATTACTTAGTTTATTTGTAATGGCCTCTACTGAATTTCAAAATTACTTGTTTTCAGGAATAGCCCTGATTCTCATCATAATGTTGCAAGCTACTGTCCAACCCTTTCAAGAGAATAAGCACAATACTTGTGCCATCCTTACATTTGTAAACATGGGACTAATCACTATATTTACTGTATGCATTTTCTTCCTGGAGTCTGTCAATGGTTATGAAAAGGAGGTTATCATTGCACAGTGTATACAAATCGTACTTATATATATTCCGCTTGTTGCTGTGGCTTTCTGGTTGTTGAGGATATATTACTACAAAATAAAAGTCAAAGGAAGATCTTTTGACTATAGCTATGGA